GGGGTGGACCGAGAGGCGCTCGCGGGCGCTTCCTGTGCCCCGCTCCCCTCCGGTCCCCTCGGGCCGCGCGCAGCCCACCGCTGCTTCACCACAGAGCTAGCGCGGGAGCCCTGACCTGGGCTCTAGCAGTCACTTTAGACGGAGCACTTTACTTCCCAAAGAACTGAGAAGCCTGAGTCATCTAGTTTTAATGTTTTTGTTTCAACGGTAATGTTTTTGAGGATCGTGTTTCTTGCAGTGATAGCTGTACCAGCTTAGATTTCAACCAACAGCGGAGGAGGGTTCCCTTTTCTCTAGACCAGCCCTTGCCGCCTTTCTGGTAGCAGCCATCCTCACAGTTGGGAGGTGATAGCTCATTGTGGTTTGCATTTCCCTGACTAGTGATACTGTGCACTTTTTCGTGAACTCTGCCATTTGTGGACCTCCTAGAAAGATGTGCATTCAGATCCTTTGCCCATTTGATCATTGACTTGTAGGTGTCGTGCTTTAGTTTGCTTTGTTTTCGTTTTTTACTATGGAGTTAAATTTCTTATATCTTTTGTATATTAACCCCTTATCAGATATATTGTTCACAAACACTTTCTCCCAATCCATACACTGGTTTTTTTTTCATTTGTTTGTTTCATTTGCTGTTCAGAGCTCTTTTAGTTTGATATGATCCCGTTAGTCTAATTCTTTTTTTCTTTTGCCGCTTGAGCTCTTGGTGTGATAGCCAAAATAATCATTGCTAAGGCCAGTGTTATGACAGAACACAGCAACTGTACTTTTGGATGCTGTGATTTAGATTTAAAATGTCCCACAAAAGTCTCAAAGGCTCAGGGCTAGGGTTTTGGGAATATGGTTGGCTCCTGGGTCAGTGGATTGATGAGTTAGTTCACGGTTGAACGTGCTATTAGGTGGGGCCTGGTTGGAGGTGAGTTACTTGGAGTGAGACCCGGAAGTACATCTTGTCCCCGGCTTCCTTCTCTCTGCTCTGTGATGGCCATGAGGTGAGCAGCTTTCTCCGCAGTGCCTTTCCACCATGCATTTCTTCCAGGGAGCCAGCTGACCTTGAGCTGAGTGCTTTGAAAACTCTCCTCCAAATTGTGGGTTTCGGCTATTTTTTTTCCCCCAACAAAAGAAAAGCTATTATATTGAGTATATACCCAAAGGAAATGAAATCAGGATCCAAGGAGATACTTGCACTCTCAAGTCCATCACAGCATTGTTTACAAACACAAGATAAGGGCATAACTCAGGTGTTCATTGGCTGGTGAATGGATACATAAATTATAAACATACAAGGGAATATTATTCAATCTTAAAATAGGGATCCTACCTTTATAACTACATGGTTGAACCTGTATGAAATTCTGTAAGTGAAGTAAGGCTGAGAGAAAATGAAAATTGCAATATGATCTTACTTATATGTGCAATCTTTTTAAAAATGTATATGCATTTGATCAACAAATACAATATAATCAACAAATACAATGCTTAATTTTTTCATTAATTTATATATTCAATCATTTATTTGAGAATCCAGCTTAGAACCTACCTTGGCCTTCAAGGAAACGTGTATATCCACTTTCCGAGCTTTTCCAGGTTTGTGCTATAAATTACCTTGTCTCTTATAGGTGTCTTCTCTTGCAAATTCCTAGATCTGTCATCTCAGCTGTCAGTTACTAATATTTGTGTGCTATTCACTCTCAAAAAATATCTGTAGCTATTTCTCCTTTACTAATGTCTTCTATCTCGATCGGTTTTATCTTTTGAATTTTCCACCTTTTAAATTTTGCCATATTACTGAGATTTTTAAGATCAAATGGAGAAAAAATAGATGTATGCGACTTGTCATATTTGATAGGAAGTCAGAATATTTTTAAAAGTTCCAGTAGAATTATGTCTCAACCCTGTTTAAATCTCCATGACAGAAGCTCCCCAGAATTCAATCATCTCATCTTAGTGAGACTCTTTACTAATTGAGCAACAATTCCCTATTTCCCCTCACCAGCAATTGCCCACCACCATTCTCTTTTCTTTCTTTTCTGCTTGGATTATTTTAGCTATCTTGTATAGATGAAATATATATATAT